GGAGATTCCAAAAATAATATTATATACAGAGTGTTCCATTTGAAAAATCAAAGTTGCTACTGCTTTCTAATAGAAGCGGCAACACCGCATTGTCGAAAATATTTTAGTTGGCTAGAGAATGTCCGAATATGCCCTCTATTAAATTTTCAAAGTGATCCGTTGTCTGGTTCACCAGAAACGTCTAATGTGCCATCCACCGTGAATCAGCCTGTATAGTCAATTCGTTTCGTTCTGCTACTTTCTTCAATTCTTCACGGTATTCCCAGACCAGTTCTCGTCACTTTTGAGATCGTCAGTGCCCTAAATGCAGCCTGGCTAACTGAAAATATTAAAAAATAATAATAATCTGTCATCGGCATAATCAACTATTTTGGCAAAGCTATCTGATTCAAATACGTCGATTATGAATATTGAAAAAAATTAGTCTAGTACTGTTTCTGCAGTTGGATACACTGTGCTGATGATGCCAATAGCCAGAAACACGTTTCCGCGGTTTGCCAATAATTTTTCTTGATTGCTGTTCTGACTAATACTTTCCTATTTGAATTAAATCATATACACTCGATAACACCGCCATTCTTATATTTATATCCTGTAGCTGCCCCTGTGGTGATGTTAGGATATCGTAGAAATTCTAGGCTCCTGTTATTGATTCCGTTCTTATGTGCTATTTTCCCACTTTTTGGCAACCAAGTGTTGCCCATCCCTGCACATGGCTACACCGCGCTGATGAGGCCAATAGCCAGAAACACGTGTCCGCGGTTCGCGCAATACAATATATAATTGTGTTTTTTATGTGTTGGATTATTTATGTAATGTCATCATTAGTTATTTGTTATTTGTTTGTTTTGATACGTTGTTATCGGAAGTTAACCATATCTCGTTTCAGGTTGAGGAAAATTCAAGAAAGTGGTCTTCAAGCAAGAGAAGTTGGTTTGATATATACAAAAAAACCGATATGTGCTAACAGAGGTTCAAGTTTCATAAGCGTTGGTTTAGTAGACTGTTATCCTGCAGCTGTAGTTTTGGCAAGTGGTGCTATTATTTCTATCTTGGTTTTGTTGATAGAACTAGTGATTCATCATAGGTAGGTACCCCTTAGCTACAAAATACTAGGGTTACTTCATTTCAGATTTCAATTGAAAAGTTTCAAAAATTCAATTTTTTTTTATCAGAAATTCATTCAGATTATTTCGATGATAGAAATATTTCAACGCTGAAATCGAAATATCAACCTTTATTCAATTATTGCAAAAAACTGAATGTGTTTGATGACATGCCTTATTGAAGCTCAAAGATTCAAACCTCTAATGTCTGAAAAATATTTGGAATTCAGAAGAAGATGATTTAGTAGAATGGGTAAGGACATGAACGATGTGCAAACAATGTGGAAATTCAAGTCCAATCATCTGTGAAAGAAACAAATTATTGTGATCTATGATGGAAATTATTTGAGAAGCGATTGAATATGATGACCACTGTCAAATAATTCGATCTCCTGAGATTTCCCATGAAAATGTGTATTCATAAACCAAATTTAGTAAATTATCACTAGATTTTGACGAACAAATAAATGATTGTTTCGCGACAGAAGCAATTTGGTAGTTGTCGTAATACATTGATCTATTTACACCTTCTTATCCATTCTGATGATTTTTTCCAATTATTGTTAACATTTGTTTTTCTCCCCTATTTCTCAGACATTTTGATTGAGTGAAAAAGAGCAGGTTATTATTTTCTATTGCAAGTATGCTTCGAGCTTTCACTTCCGGTTCAGTGTCCTTAAGGTTTTGAAACATCGCATCGTGAATCTCTACACTGACTTAGATGAAAGGAACAGATCCGATTCCTTTTGTCGTAAGGAAGAAATATCACTGGTTATTATAGCTTCTCTTTCTCCTGGGCCTTCTTCACCTTCTTTCGTTTTCCTCTCTTTCTCTTTTAAACAATATTTGTTCTTCAACGTGTTGCAATAGTGATTTTATTGAGAGTTTTCTTGACGTGGCCGAGTTTATTATGAAACCTTACCTAGACTTGCAATCAGTCTATGCAGTCTTACAAGTAAACCAGTTATTATCAGATAGGTTGGGTTAGGTTAGGTATGGTCCAAAGTGAATGGGTCTATTCGACCCTCCACCACCACACGCAAGAGTTTATTGTGGCTTACTCCTATTCACACTCGACCAAATAAACACAGCTTCTGAACGAAATCGATTAGTTTGTATTGTGAGTGGTCTTTAAAGTCAGATGTTAAGAGTACAGCTCTGCTGAACGCTAAAAACCTTATTTGGACCCCAGCTGGGCAGGCACAAAGTATGGGCTCTGCTATTTCATCATTTCATAGGCAGAGGTGACACACACTGTCTTCCAACAGTCATAGTCTCTGCATATGATGATTCAAATCACAGCGACAGTGAGAAGGCCTGTTATACATCGTAGTTCATCCCTACTGTAGTCCAACAACTGGTTGGTATCAAGCTTCAAAGGGTGAATAAATGCCTTGGAGTGAGCCAATCCTGGAAGATTTTGCCAGATGTTTATAAATCTTCTTGCCATCCAGGTGTACAATCTTTGTATGGCAAAACCTAAAGCGATGCCAATGGTTCTGGTCAGATGAAGCTGCTTGCAGCACCCTCCTTTGCAAGGCAGTCAACAGCTTCGTTGCCTCCCAGGCTAGTATGGCCAGGAATCCAGACCATAAACAATATGTTAGGTCTTTCTATTGAGACGAGTCGTTTTTGGCAATTTGTCACCAATTTAGACGTTGCTCGGTAGGAGCCAAGAGCTTCCAACGCCGCTTGACTGTCCGAGAATATTTTTATTGACTTGTGTATGAGGTTGGATTCTTCCAATCTCTCCGCACACAATTCAATAGCGTAAATTTCCACTTGAATTACAGTCGCATAGGTTCCTAGGCAGGTTGATATCTCTGTTCTGGGTCTGTAACTGAAAACACCTGCACCAGAATCGAAAAGTGTTTTTGATCCATCTGTGAACCAACTACTATCTGCTCCTAATATTTCCTTCTCCCAGAGGATCCAGTCTTCTTTACTTCGGAACAGTAGTTTATAAGGCAGTTCGTAGTTGACAGTTGGAGGCATAAAGTCAGAGGTCATTTGCAGAATGCTATAACTTCCAGTGTCAACCAACAGTCTATTGCAATCTGCCTTAAATTGATTTGTGCCATTGGCAATGTGCACAATTCTATATGCAGTCCATCTAGCCTCTCTTCTCAGAAAAATTTGGAGAGGTGGAAGATCTATGGCCGCTGACGGTGTGATACTGATTGCACCACTGATGGCCAGACAAGCCTGTCTCTGAAAGCCAGAGAGCTCCGCCGGGCCGTAAAGCCTTCGGCTACCAGGCAATTGCACCATAAGTGATCACTGGTCTGACAATCATCACATAAATTCAATGGATTTGTTTGACACCTAAACCCCATGTTTTACCACAAATCCTTTGACATGTCCATAGGGACAGTCTGGCTTTGTGTAAAACTGTTTCCAAGTGGGCGTTTCAGGTGAGTTTTTTATCAAGGACAATGCCAAGATATTTCACCTCCGTTCCAATTGGAATGACCTCACCACTGAGGAAAAGTGGCGTTAGATTGTCCAATTTTCTCCTCCTGATGAAGGCAATCATCACAGTTTTGCTTGGGTTGACAGACATCTGCTCCCTCAAGCACCAACTGTGAACAACGTCCATCGTGCTTCGAAGGATATTACAAGCCACCCTTTCCGACCGTGACCTTACCAAGATGATAAGGGCATATGCATAATCTTGCAGATCTAGTTTTCTTCTGCCGAAGGCATCAAGCAGATTATCTATTGAGAGCGACCACAGAAGGGGAGCATCAGATAGGTAGATATGGAAATAGATGTGCTATTTCCTCCTTTCAGCATTATTCAAATTATATTTTACTTCAAGAATTTCATTTAATTTTCATTCGATTACATATAGGAAACGGGCTCAGTTCCACACAAAATAAAATATTGTTCAGAATTCGTGCCACTTCTCAACAACAATGTGTCCACGTGCATAACAACAAGACTGCTTTCAATCGTAGATTATTCATTATTTATTGAAGTTTATGTTAGTTCCTCAAAATATATTTGGTCATCTTATAATAATTGTTGAAACTTTATTCATATTCAATATTCATACTGCTTAATATTACGTCTCATTTGCAGAAATACATTGATGGAGATGAAGAGATTACCTCAGTGGCCATACCTGAAATAGAAACCACGAAGAAATATTCACGATTTAGACTGTGCTACTGTACTATAATTGGGTATTCTGGAATAAACATATCTGAATTTTTCCGAATGTTTTGTGAACGTGTCACGCCTTTTATTGAAAAGTAAAATACGAGTTGATACGGTCTTTTCTCTGTATGCCATACAGGGCGTTTCAAATTCGATCCTCACCATTGAGATCTCGGAAACTATGAGATATACGAAGATGGTTGAATTGGAGTAAAGAAGCGCATTCATCTGACAAACAATATGCCCTTGAGAAAGTTCTGAAATTTCGAGTATATCCGGAGATATCCGGAAAAAACAGAAACTCCGAAAAATGGTTTTTATTTTTTTCCGGCTTAATTTTTCAAAGGATTCGAAAATGAATTGCACTTTCACATTGCCCCTTTTTACCTGCTATATAATGGTGTATTCAGATTTGCTATCCGACGTTTCGTCTTCCGGCCACCATCATCAACTTTTTCTCACGGGCGCTACATTGGATTTTTTCTGTTTTGGATAAAACCAAAGTTTACCTTTTCAATGATGTATCATAAGTTAAAATTCTTTATCTTAAAATTGGAGATATTGAAAAAAATTTATTCTTATCATAATAGGCTTTGACTTCGATGTTTCTGAATTTGACTTTCAATTTGTTACACTTAATGATATTTTGTTATTCTACAAGTCTTTGAATTTCAATACAAGTGAACATTTCGCTTCATTTTTATTTTTCATTGCTGCAAAAGTTTGAAACCTAAAAATAAAATTGGAGATATTGAAAAAAATTAATTCTTATCATAATAGGCTTTGACTTCGATGTTTCTGAATTTGACTTTCAATTTGTTATACTTAATGATATTTTGATATTGTACAAGTCTTTGAATTTTTGGCGAAAAATAGCTTTCACGAATGAAGAAACAAAAGATATGATACAAATTCATTACAAATACGATAGAAACAGTGATAAGACATCGGAAGTGTTTTCAAAGTTGTATCCCGAAAGACGACAACCACATCGAACTATGTTCAAGTTATTGGATCAAAATCTCACCGAGTTTGGTTCATTTGAAAAGCCGAGGAAGAAATGGCAATATGGAAGTGCAATTTATTCTCGAATCTTGCGAAAAATAAAGACAAAAACAATAAAAACCATTTTCCGAAATTTCTGTTTTTCGGATATCTCCAGATATACTTGGAATTTCAGAACTTTCTCAACGGCACATTGTTTGTCAGGTAAATGCACAACTTTTGCCCCAAATCAACCATCTTCGTATCTCTCATAGTTTCTGAGATTCCAATGGTGAAGATCGAATTTGCAACACCCTGTATATGGCATTTCATCGAATGATCTCTATTCAACGTGAATTTTATCAGTAGTATGTTCAACTGTTAGGCAGAAACGTTTACAAACTTTCACTGTATTTTCCGATACTGCAGTTATATGTTTCCTTATCCCGCAAAGTAAGTCGATACATGATTTGAAAAAATTCTTGCGAGAAAAATTCTCAAGGTATATCCAATGCTTCAAAAAACAGCCTCAAATAATGAATCGGTGTTGCCAGTTATACAAAATACAGAGCCATCTATAAATCATAATTAGTTTTATACGTTTCTGTATGACCTGTGTGAAAGTTCAATTATTTTTCAGTTGTTCGCATTTATCTGCTGAAATGATGGAATTATGGGGGATGAAATTTTCCTAAAAAAGTATTGTACAGTACATGGGTATATTTATTAAACCCAAAATACACCAAACTAACTTTTTTGTAATTGTAAACAGAGAGAAAAAAGTTAACAAATTTTTCCTAATACCAGTTCTACGTATTAATGGATAGGGTGGATGGAACTGTATTAACAAAAAAGTCACATCATAAAACTAAAAACTAAAAACTAAAAACTAAAAACTAAAAACTAAAAACTAAAAACTAAAAACTAAAAACTAAAAACTAAAAACTAAAAACTAAAAACCGAAAACCGAAAACTAAAAACTCCAAAAACAACCCCAGTCTACATTTTCATTAAAATATATCATAATCATGAATGAGTCCACCTACGTTAGATTACTTGTATCTACTTCAATAAAACATTTCTAGATTCAACACGGTTAATTCCACCTCAAGAATTGAATGTTTCGTTCTATAACAGTCTGAACGTATTCAGAGATAATTATATGGACAATCGCAGATATCTTGTGACGTCACAGTAGCTGTCGACAAACGCATAGTTTTGAAGTCGTGTATGTTGATAACGGTAGATACTATCGATTTGAAATTTTTGTCATCCTATTCTCAATGACAAGTGCTATCGAATATATATTTGATCACGTAATATAAAAACACATTCAGAAATGTCCCATAATGTGTTTTCTCTATCATGACAAGAAATCACATCCGATTGTTGCGAATATCTTCAAGTTTTTTTCCGCTAAGCTTTGATAACAGTAGTTGGTATTTTCAATGTCCAATTTCCAAGTGTTTTTTTACAGTTGGCAGGGGCATGTGGAAAAAGCAGATGTTTCATTGATGATCATCAAATAATATGTAGTGATATTAAGGGATAAGGCAAAATAAATTCACAGTCGAAAAAGTAATAGAAATTTCATTTTATTTCATACAGTATACATCTATTTACCCTTATTTTTCAACGCATTTTTCTACCAAACATTTCGTTTTTATGAGGTTTTTGTAGAATGTCGCTGATTTCTTTGGTGTCCTAGTTCTATTGGGACTATTGAAGTCTACATTGTAGAGACCAAACTTGTTCCTGGAAACCAAATTATATAATTTTTTATAAAAAAAAAAATCGATGAAACGTTTGTGTCATCTAATATGATTAATGGATCCCAAGAAAAAATCAGTCAAATTATTCATTGAAAATATATTTTGATTGAACATTTAATAGATATAGTATCCGACGACAGATGATTTGTTGTTTTGAAGTCGTACTTTGAATCTGGTAAGTCATTCAAAATTATAGCACCCCATCAATTTTTTTTCAGTTATTTCATTGGTTTTGAAATTTTGGGTTTACTATGAATGGTGAATATTTACTTCATCGTTGTTTTGTCCCAATTGTACAACTTTTTTAATTTCCAATTAAATTGGCAGATAAATCACCATATCATGTTCTACAGATTCATCAGAATTTCGATATCCAAAGAAAATTTGACCAAACACATTCACTTTGAATATCACAATAAATGTATGAAATAAGTTTGAATCTTTTGAATTAGTTGAAATTATTTTGCAGAATATAAAAAACGAAATATATTTAAAAAACTTCCTTCACCAAAACAAAAAATTACGGTCTCTCAACGCGCGTTTCGGTAACCAAGTTAGCGTCCTCAGGAGATCATAATGATCTCCTGGATCTCAATGGATTCATTGGATTCCAAAATGAACCATCAAGTAAAAAACGATAGTTGCTACAAATATCATCACTACTTCCAGTTATAGCATTTATAAAATGCCTTATGGAGAGTAATACTATCTTGTGAAGGGATTTTATGAAATATATTTTTTCAGAAAGTTTGGACAATATTAACATTTCCCTAGGATATGAAATTCTCACTCTCATGATCGATATGAATTAATGGAAGTGATGGTTCATTTTGATATATTTTTTGAGATACATCTTTTGAATTACAAAATTAATCAGACTCATTTTTGTGTCGAGAGTTCTGGACAAAATAAAGAAATGATAAATATAGACAGTCCACTGATGGTTACACTGTATTTTTTGTAAAGGTGAAGTTTCTTTGGATACGTTGATAATGATGTTCATAAAAGATTCGTATCGTTGCAAATAGTGGGACTTTCATGGAATTGAAATAAAATTGTACCCTATATAATCTTAATGGTGAGATCTCCCTCACTTTCCATTATAATGGAAATCGAAATAAAAAATGTCTTATGAGTTTGGGAAGGATCGGTGATCGGTCTATGAACTCGTACTTGAGATCAAAACATAAAAACGCATTTTATCAACTGGTCAAATCTTAGAGAACCCAATGACCAATATAAAAATATATTCTATTATTCAATTTGTTACTTATTCGGGTAGAACCGCAACAATCTTCTGTTTTATCTAATTGTGATTTTTGAGGCAAAAGGATTTTCTTCATCGTAATTACCAGTACTTTGATTCATAACTGACACTTTTATAAGGTGAGAAAGAAGAAGAAACTATTTCAATTATACATTTTTCATCTTCAAGAGCATTTGAAAAAATCATAACCTGAAACTGATGCAATTTCACATTGGAAAGTCACATCACCCATTGTAAAATTATGTTGGGTCTTTATATTCAAAACAGAATATAGATTTCGCAAAACTTGCAATGCAATATCAAAGCGGTTGAATATAGTGAACATTTTGAAATATATTTCATATGATTATAAGAATACTTACGTAAAACCAAATGTCCATTCCAGGTTATCCAACAAACTCCATACTGTGTAACCAAATATGTCAACTCCGTCTTCATCCATGGCATCTTTGATACTGCTGAGATATGTCTGTTCAGAGAAAATTCAATCAGATCAGTTCAAGTTCAAATATCTATCAAAAGTATTGATTTTCATTTCACAAATACTCTATGTCCGGACTCATCCCTTATAACGTTTTTACGTTTTTCCTAATACCTATTCAATGTATTGCATACGTGCTGTTCCGTCGAATCTATTTTTTTTTTATTTAAACCTTGAACAGTCAATAATACATTTTTTGTATTCATATCCTGGACCTATAACACATTTTTTGTATTCATATCCTGGACCGTTTTATGCTGTTTTTTCGTTTTCAGCAACCAAGTATAACTCATCTTTGCACTCAACTACACCGCGCTGATGAGGCCAATAGCCAAAAACAGGCGTCCGCGGTTTGCCCCTGCATTTTGAAGAGTGCTGAGATTTTAAATCTGGTCGTCTTTTCAATGTAGTGAGAAGTAATAATGAAATTTTCCACCAACTTTTTTTTACTTTTTAAAACTACCATTGAATTAAAAAATAATCAGATGTGTTACATATACAAGGCTTTTCATGATGAGCGTTAATTAGCCGTTTCTGACAAACTATTTAACGGATCAACCTGAAAATTTCACAGTGTACATAAATCAATATGACCTACCCGCCTGAAATATTTCAGACGGAGCGGCGTTGTCGCTTCTACTATAAAGTAGCGGCTTCTTTGATTTTTCAAATGGAACACCCCGTATATAATATCATATTATGATTCATTATCACTTTGTCAACAAATTCATATACTATTTCCCTATACCTATCTATTACCGTTTAGAAGATATAAATTAATTTCGATATTTTTTTTA